TAGAAACAAGGAGGAACTTTCTGACAATGAGAGCAATCAACGCATGGAACAGAAGTTGCCTTCAGAAGTTGTGGGAGCTTCAACACTTGAGACTTTCAAGAAGAGGTTGGACTTGAATTTGTCAGAAATGGTGTAGGGTCCCCTGCTTGAGCTGGAGGTTAGACTAGATGTCCTACAAGGTGCCTTCCAACGCTGTTAATCTGTTAAACATTTGGCCCAACCTCTCCACTGTGGTCAAATTGTAAGACTACGCCTAAAGGAACGGCCATGATTGATTATGTAGAATTGGTACAATGTACAATTTTACAAATGAAAATTATAGATCCCCATTGTTTTTTTTAAAAAAAAATACAAATAGATATTCTATAAAATGATGGTAAGTAAGTTATTTAACAATAATGGGGCAATATAAAAGCACATAAAGATGCACAGAAACTAACATATTTATCCAGCAAAGAGCTAACTTAATTTGGTAGAAGATTTTATCAATGAAATACCTTAATTAACAGAATAATTAAACACAAAAATACTATTTTTGCACACCATTTTAGTATTTTAATGTACTGTCATTGTCAAAGTTGAAACCCCAATAGTTAAGATTATAACCTGATAGATATTATCAAATTCTTTTTGAGATTATAAATTAGTGCCACTGATGGGTTCCAGGAGTCTAGTGAAATAATATAGCAGAAATCCTAAAGTATTCATAAATTCAATGATCCTTAAGGGACCTCTCTATTTCTTTGTATGGGTAGAAGATCCTGATATCTCCTGCAGATGCTTCTAAGCAGGAAGGCTAAGACTGAATGTAATTAAATTGAAATGATTATCCTTCGTGATTTCTCAAAATTATATGCAATGACTTACTATTTTTTTTAATGTATAAATGCCATAAATGTTTTACTAGATGTCTCCTCTGAACTGCTGAAAGCTATGTATGGATTACAGTGGGATATAAATGGAAAGAATAAATGAATGAACAAACCAATAGCCCTCACTTCACCATGGAAAATTACTGAATGCCTTGGCCATTCGCTCTCTCTTGGCTCAATTTACCTCACAGGGTGGCTGTTTGGAGGCTAAAACAAAAGGGAATTCCCTCAGCTCTTTGGAGGAGAGGCAGGATATTCTATTAAGGAACCTAGTAAAGAAATAGCAAATATTCTTGCTATTCTGGAAATAGTGCTATAGCCTAAATTAGGCTTCACACATTTTTAAAAATAGAAAAAAGCTCTTTAGCTCTCTACTCAAGTTGAAGGAGAGAAAGTAGAACATATGGAATGTGGGAATCATAAAACTGGCGATCTTCTAGTCCAGCGGTTACCCACTGGTGGTCCGTGAGAAAATTTTGGTGGTCCGCAGAAAAATCTTTGCATTTTTTATATTGCACTAAATTAGGGATCCTCAAACTATGGCTCCTGGGCTAGATACGGGCCGCTGAAGCAATTACTCCCGCTCGCTGATGGGAAGGGGTCCTTCAGGCACTTAGCTTGGCTGCCTGTTTAGTAGCTCCAGCCCTTCCTTCCCTCCCTCCCTCCCTGGTCGACATGCTCAGTGTCTTAGCCACTGAGCCACCACGTCCTTCTCTTTAACAGGCTAAATATACCTAGCTCACTCAACCGTTCCATCATACGATAAATGGGCAATAACGCTGAAAATCCTTGTCCATAAGTGGGATTCCGTTCTATTCCATCTATAGTTCTGAATCATTCTAGTTTCACCCTCTCTCAAAGCTGTCAGCTTCAATAATCTTCCCAATAGAGACATGAAAGGACAGGGGGAATCCAGAATCTGAGTTTCCCTTCTCTTGGGGATGAGTGGAAAATCCTTTTGCTTCACTGTGGATTTTCCCAATTCAAATTTCCTGTATAGTCTGACCTCATACAGTCTGACCATTTCCTACATCTAGTCTACACTTCAGGGTCATTAGGGGAACTTTGCCTTGGCTGTAGGATTTCGATTCAGAAAAACCACCATCCAGACCAAGGGTGAAGATTATATTTTGGGTTTTAAAAAAAACTCTCTTGAGAATGGCAGTCTTTCAGGATAAATATCAAGATATGAAGCTTAAACCTTGCTTCCTGTATCACAAATGCCACTTCAGGCTAAACCACAGGAAGATGTGCTGACTTTTTAATGACATCCTGTTTGAGACTATCACCAACTTAGCCATTCTTAGTTTCTTTGAAAGGGGTGTGGGAAGTGTCAACTTACTTACTAGGAAATCCTGTTGGGTTTATTTCTAGATGTAGTATTAGCCTTTTATTTCAGTCACTCAACCCCCCCCCAAAAAAAACCCTACCAAACCCCATACCTTTTAAGAACACTCTGTGACCGTGTGATGGCTATTCTTTCAATGTTTTCAGGAAAAATAAGGTAAAGGTTCCCCTCGCACATATGTGCTAGTTGTTCCTGACTCTAGGGGGTGGTGCTCATCTCCATCTCAAAGCCGAAGAGCCAGTGCTATCCGAAGATGTCTCCATGGTCATGTGGCCAGCATGACTAAATGCCAAAGGCACACAGAACTCTGTTACTTTCCCAACAAAGGTAGTCCCTATTTTCCTACTTGCATTTTTACATGCTTTCAAACTGCTAGGTTGGCAGAAGCTGGGACAAGTAATGGGACCTCACTCAGTTATGCGGCGCTAGGGATTCGAATCGCTGAACTGCCAATCTTTCTGATTGACAAGGTCAATGTCTTAGCCACTGAGCCACCGCATGCCTATTCAGGAAAAATAGTACAAGTCAAATGTTGGTGTTTTGTTTTGTGGTACACGGCAGCCACAATATTTTCATAAGCCACTCATAAGGGGGTCATAAAATCAATATGATGTCAGCAACCATGTGACTGAAGTCTTGCTTCTTTTTCATATGTGGTAGACAGAATAAAGGGCAAAGCTTTGATGACACGATTCCTACCACTCTCTTAACCTTTTTCATCTCTGATTTCCCTTTCCTTCGTTCAACCAGCCCAAAGTGGTCTAACTCCTTCGTGGATTACTGCCTTGTCATGGTGAAGGGGCTTGCGTAGCTCAATGAAGCTATGAGCTATACCATGCAGGGTCACCCAAGATGGACAGGTCATAGCAGAGAGCTCTGATAAAAGGTGATCCATTGGGGAAGGCAATAGCAACGCAATCCAGTATCTTTGCCATGAAAACCCCTTGGACAGTACCAAGAGGCAAAAAGATATGACACTGGAAGATGAGCCCCTCAGGTTGGAAGGTGTCCAATATGCTACTGGGGAAGAGCAGAGGTCTTGTATTAGTAGCGCCAGAAAGAGTGAAGCGGTTGGGCAAAAGCTGAGCTATGGATGTATCTGGAGTGAAAGGAAAGTCTGATGCTGTAAAGCCAGAGGATGGTAGAGGACAGGAATATTCTCCTTTATCGATAAGCTTTTAGTTCTTGATTATTTTAGGAAAGTGCCCTAATTTTCACTAATAGTATATTTACACTCCTTTAACGAAAGTGTTAAGTGCTGGAGAAGACTCCTGCGAGTCCCTTGGACTGCAAGGCGATCAAACTGGTCAGTCCTTGAGAAGATCAACCCTGATTGCTCTTTAGAAGGCCAGATCCTGAAGATGAAACTCAAATACTTTGGCCATCTAATGAGAAGGAAGGGTTCCCTGGAGAAGAGTCCAATGCTGGGAAAGATTGAAGGCAAATGAAGAAGGGGACAGCAGAGAATGATGTGGCTGGATGGAGTCACTGAAGCAGTTGGCATGAGTTTAAATGGACTCCAGAGGATGGTAGAGGGCCGGAAGTCCTGGAGGAATGTTGTCCATGGGGTTGCAATGAGTTGGACACGACTTTACAACTGTCAACAATAAAAGCTGCTAAATCTCCTACCCCTCTTATAAGTTAGGACTACCAAACCAAGATTTCCCAACCAACAGCCATGAGGTGACCATGCTCGCCATCTCTTGCACCTCAAAAATAATAAGACCTTCCTGAAAATAAGGCCAAATGCTTATTTCGGGGGTCAAAAGAAAATAATACCCTGTCTTATTTTTGGGGAAACATGGTAGTAGATTTGACTATCCTCATAACTTCCCATGAGTTGTTTCATTAACTGAAAGAAAAATAACACTTGGCAAATACATAGCACTGCCTTCTCTTTGACAACCAAGTGACAAGAGAAACCAGTCAGGAAAAGCAGTTTATATACTTAAATACATTAGAACAGGGGTAAGCAATCTGCGGCTCTGAAGCCCCAAGTAGCTCTTTCATCCGTCTGCTGTGGCTCCCTTTTGCCGGTCGGCTCCATAATTGATAGGGCTTTTGATTAGGACAGGTAGAGGACACTAGGAGAAGATTCTATAGTGGGAGAACTGGACTTCCAGTTCAGCAGAGGAAAAAGGACGCCGCACTAGGAGATTATTCTAAAGCAAGGGTCAGCAATCTGCAGCTCTGGAGCCACATGTGGCTCTTTCATCTGTCTGCTGTGGCTCCCTTTTGCTGGTCAGCTTCACAATTGATAGGACTTTCAATTAGGACAGGTAGAGGATGCTGTGCTAGGAGAAGACTCTATGGTGGGGGAACCAGACTTCCGGCCGGCTCCAGAATTGAATTGGGGGCTTCCGGTTAGGACCTTTGAGTGTTTAAGTTTGCTGACCCCTGCACTAGAATAAACAAACACATTATATATTAACTTGTAAAGATGATCCGCCTGTCACACAAGGAACTCCAGTTTTGTCTAATGGTTATGGCCCCAAGCTAGAAAGCAAGAGACTCTGGGTTCAAGACCCACTTTAGTCATGAAAGTCAGCTGGGTGATTTTGAGCCACTCCCTCTCTCTCAGCCCAAACCACCTCACCAGGGTTGTTGTTGCTTTTGTAGGGAAAGTATGAAGTGTGTTGGGTATGTTTGCCACTTTAGAGTTATTTGTAAAAATAATAAAGGCGGGGTACAAACCAACCAACAAATGAAATCTTGTTGGCCAGGGACTTGGACATCCCTCAGTCAATTTAGCTGTTCATTTAAAGGAGTATCAAACTTACCTGTTTGAGAATTGGGTCGGGAGTTGGACCACTTCTGTGATGGCGTCTGGATTCCTTTTTGCAACAGCACAGATGTCCAGCTTGCTATAGCATTCCTCCTGCACTTCAGAAATCATCCGCTGGAATGTGGAACATCGGCGAATGGCCAGGAACACCTTGGATGTGACGCCGTTGGCAATGCATTTCAGACTCTCCTTTACAAAGGCCTTCCCCTGCAGCCAGAAGGACAGGAACATGTAAGGAAGTAGGTCAGAGGTTGGCAACCTTAAACACTCAAAGAGCCACAAAGGTCCTAACTGGAAGCCCCCCATTCAATTCTGGAGCCAACCAGAAGCCCAGTTTCCCCAGCCATAGAGTCTCCTCCTAGTGCAGCATCCTTTTTCTTCTACCTGCCCTAACCGAAAGCCCCATCAATTGTGGAGCCAACAGGTGACAGGGAGTCACAGTAGAGGGATGGAAAGAGCCACAGGTTGCTGATCCCTGCCCTAGACTAAAACCCATAGGACGGTAACTGAGCCCTGATGCTGTTACTTATTCTGGGTAATGAAACGTCTGCAGGAAAACAATCAAGCTCAGAAAGTATCAAGGACCCATCACATCAATTGTTGTCATGTGTTTCAAAAACTCCCACCATTATTCCTCAGAGTTGTTCCTGAATTGTTCTGCACTGTTCCAAAGGGCAACTGGGAAATAGTTGGACTTCAAGAAAATGTACTGCATCTAAGAGTTGTTCAACAATGGAGCAGACAGGAGCTACCCCTCCTTTTGCTGAAAAATAATGATCTGTTGTGAATGCAACAGGTAGGAGTCTTAACCATGATTACCAAAGACCCTTTCTGGGCTTACATTCTATAAATTCTGTTTATATATTAGAGTATATATATACTATATATTATACTATATATATTTAGAGTAATTCACAGTGCATAAAACTGATTTTATAAATGCACACAACTTAAAAATACGAAGCCATGCTCACATTCTATTTATAAAATATATTATACTTTTCTTATTACACTAATAATAATCCCAAAGCAGGTCAGTGATGGATTTCCTTTATGCATACCGTTGTTGCAAGAACCTTTCTGTGTAAGGAGCTTCCTGTGGGTAGGAAACAATAAGCAACAAAATGAACTCATCCAGTTTCCTCTTATATTTGATTCTTATCAAATATACGTGTCCCAGGATGATGTTGCTGGATCCAATCTGAGTCAGTAACCAGGGCCAGAGATTAAGTCTTCTAAGCTTTTGGAGTCGTGCGGGAGCCCATGTTCAGGAACTTCTCTATGGGGGCACATATGGAGACGTTTCCTGAGTGAGGAGGGGCTCCGGTATGACACTGAAGTATGGGAAGTATGAGACCACCATGTTTGGGAAAGCTAGTCAAATGCAAAGGACAATACTTTTGCATTTCCCAGTAGCTTCACCATTTGGAAGTCTAGTCCTCTACATCAGGGGTAGGCAGACAAAGAGACTTCATTTAATAAAGAACCTCTAGATCCATGATGGCAAACCTATGGCACATATGCCACAGGTGGCACATGGTGCCATACCTGAGGGCATGCGAGGCATTGCCCTATGTTAGCTCCCATGTGCATGCTGGCCGGCTAATTTTCAGCCTTTTGGAGGCCGGGGGATGGCAGAAAATGCAAACAAACTTCCCGTAGTCCTGTTGGGACATTTTGCGCCCTCCCTAGGTTTCAGGAGGCTTTCTTGAAGCCTGAGGAGGGCGAAAAATGGCTCAACAGGACTACGGGAGGTCCGGGGGCTTCAGTGAGGCCTGGGCACATGCAAGTGGGGTGGGGGGGTTGTGTGGGCATGCACAGGGGGAGGACATTGCATTGTGGGTTTGAGCACGCACGTGTCTGCTATTGCGTTTGCGCGGGCCCTTTTGTCACCCGAGCAGAAAAACTTTCGCCATCCCTGCTCTGGATAGTTTGTTGAAGTTCAGCAAGATTTGATAATAGTTTTACAACAGAAACTTTCAGCTTTTTAAAAACGATTTATGAAAGTTCAAGCATATTTTTTTTTGCATTTTCTACCCTCATTGTCCTTCAAGGAGGAGGGCCTTCTCAGTAGCGGCCCCGACCCTTTGGAACGAGCTCCCCGTAGAGATCCGCACCCTCTCCACCGTCCAGGCCTTCCGCATAGCCTTGAAGAACTGGCTCGCCCGTCAGGCCTGGGGATAAGGACCATTGCCCCGCCCGAATGTTGTATGCATGTTGTGTATTATTTTATTATGTGTTGTTGTTTTAGTATTGTATTGTATTGTATTCCCCTCTCCCTGGTTTCTGTGAGCCGCCCTGAGTCCCCTCAGGGAAAAGGGCGGCCTACAAATAAAATCAATTCAATTCAATTCAATTCATTTCCAAAATAGGCACATTTGGGTAGGAATGATTCACTTCAGCTAGAAAACCAGCGTTGATTAATCACCCTTGTTAACCAAAATCAGATAAGCTCTCTTTACCAAAATACAGAAGTTAACACAGTAGCAAATAAGTTTGCCACAGCTGTTACTCACACAAGGAAAGGAGAAACAGGGGTTTCTATCGATAAACTCGGTGTGCCAAGTATCTCATGTCTATTTTAGTATCAGAGTGTCCTACATTGAGGAATGACAGTTATTCTGAGGGCTGGTGTCTTCATGTTCCTATTTTTCATTCAGATCAATTGTTTGCAGCCTCCCACACCTCAAGTCACAAGGGAAGGAACCTCAGATCAGTTCCAAAATCAGGAGCAGTCAGGGACACTGCAGAGGGAGTGAAAATCATCCCTCCCTTTTGGTAACTCACAACCACTAAAAGTAAGCTGAAAATACCCTCCCCTCCCCAACAAATTCTGAAGCACTCTGGGAATGAAGTAGAAAAATGAAAGCCCCCTTTAAGATATTTCAGCAGAATGGAATGGACATTGCTGGAATTCTCCAGATGAAGAACAATGCTTCCTAATGGCATTCAAGAGCTTCTTCCAAGCTTGGAAGAATCTAAGGAGTGCTTAGATTAGCCAAAAGAAATGCAATAAATAGTTAAGAGTTTGTAAGTCTTTATTGCAATGTTGAACTTGCTTCTCAACCAAAGGCTGTCATTCCCACAACCAATGATCAGTATAAGACGCACCTTCCCCACCCCCTAAAAGAGGGTGAAAGCTTGGGTGCGTCTTATACGCTTAATGTAGCCCCACCCACCAACCGGCCCCAACCCTTTGGCCTCTACCTCCCAGCAATTTATCTCTTTGCAGCAAACAGATGCAGAGGCTTCAATAAGCTATAGCAATCCTTGTAGCCTGTAACAGCTGATGATAGGGAGAAATTGAAAGTGAAACTTGCTGTTTGCTCCACATGGCAAATTGCTGGGAGGCAGATTTTTTTTCTTGTGCTAATTAGGCTGTTTTGCTGCAAGGAGGTAAGTCAACAACTATAAGTGCCTATAGAATGTTCAAATTATTAAACTTATTTTTTAAAGACTGCTTTATTATTGTTCTAGACAATTTAACAAAATGAAGACGCTTTTAAAACAAAGACTTGATCTGAAGAGGCTCTGTGCTATTGTTTTAAAAAGAGCTATTCTTTTAAAAAGCAGAGAATAACTATACTTCCAGAAAGCACATCAATTTTAACATCATCTGTACAAGTATAGTCTGAAATATAACACTACAAACAGTGTATATTGTCTGCACTGTTTGTTGCAAGGAGGCAAATTGCTGAGTGACAGAGGCAGATATTTTTCTCTTGTTTTCTTCTGCAAAATCTAGGTGCATCTTATACTTCAGAGAGTCTTATACTCCGAAAAATATGGCGTATTTAATTTATTTTACAGTTGCCAATATAAAATTGCACCCACTTCTCTCTCTTGATCCTGATTGTAATTGTTATCTTTTATCTCTCTTTTTGTTACTTTATATTGCTGGTCATTGACCGAATAAATACATTTCAATTTCAGTGGGCCAGGTTGTCTTCTGGAGAAGGCAAGGGCCAGATTATTCTAAAACTCCTAGTCACCTGCATGAAGGGGACTCATATCAGGCACAGCTGGAACATATGTAGCTTTCCAACTTGTGAAAAATTCAGTCTCCTTGCCAACTCCAAGAATGGGAAAAGCACATTTGTTTCCTCTTGAAAAAGAAAACTTCCTTTTCCACTCTATGAGGCGTCTTCTGCCAAGGCTTTACACAGAAGCTTGTGGGAAAAAGTGTATCGGTAGAAAAGAGATGCCTTGTCTTGACTTGCTATTTGTAGAATATCATGCTTTGAACTTTGAAGGCCACTGTGGGCTTTCCCGGGTGACAGCAGCACAAACTTTTAGCTATGCTATTTGCAGCTGCCTGAAGCTGTATACAGAACTCTTTTTTTAAAAAACGGAATGGAATTGTAGAACTGGAACAAACCCAAAAGATCATCTGCAGAACTCTTAACTCTCTGCAATAGATAGGGAAAACCATTTAAAGCATTTAGCGGAGGTCAAAGGCCTTTAAAAGGTTTAGAGATGAACCCGCAACTCCCACAGATAAGGCTACTCTATCATTGTACAGTTCTTATTGTCAGATGTGGTTTACTGTCACTTCCTCCCATGGATAAGTCATTCAGAGTCATTCTGAATACCACTAACCCAAGATTCTGGCTTGGAGACCTGAGGTTGCCTGACCTATAACCAAAGGGACTTTCTCATCTGACCATGTCATAAGGAGATGCCTTCCGTTTCACCCCACATCACCATTATTTGCATTCACAAACCCTTCAGTCAGCACCATTTGCTGCAGCGATCAAAACCAACTAGAAGGGAAAGACAGCTAAAAAGCTAATTATTCTTGAGTATGAAATGATCCCACGGTAATAGCAAAAGCATTTATATATCACTTCACAGGGCCTTACAGTTTTCTCTAAGCTGTTTACAGAGTCAGAATATTGCCCCTAACAATCTGGGTCCTCATTAATAACTTAATAACACCCCCCTCCCAAAGGTCTTACCATGACAAAATAAATATTGTCAGGCAACTTAATATAGGCCTTAAAACAAGGTCTTCTCTTCCCCTCTGAATTTTGATCACCCAACCATCAGATGTATTAACTTAAAAAGGTAAAGGTTCCCCTTGCACATATGTGTTCCTGACTCTAGGGTGCGGTGCTCATCTCCGTTTCGAAGCCAAAGAGTCAGCGCTGTGCAAAGACACCGTGTGGCTGGCATGACTGAATGGCAAAGTCGCACTGAACGCTGTT